ACTGAGCCACCCAGACGCCACCCATTCATCTTTCTTTTAAAAGATTTATTTATTCATTCTAGAGAGAGAGAGAGGGAGAATGAGAGAGCGAGTGAGGGGAGGGGCAGAGGGAGAGAATCCTCGAGCAGACTCCCTGCTGTGTGGAGCCGAAGCAGGGCTCGATCCCACGATCAATGAGATCATGATCCGAGCTGAAACCAAGAGTCGGACGATCAACTGACTGAGCCACCGAAGAGCACTTCCATTCGTTTTTTTTTTAAGCTTTTATTATTATTTATCTATTTTTTTTGAGAGGCGGGGGGCGAGAACAAGGGGTGGTGGCAAGAGGCAGAGGGAGAAGGAGAGTCTTAAGCAGGCTCCACACCCAGTGCACAGCCTGACACAGGGCTCGAACTCACGACCCTGAGATCATGACCTGAGCTGAAATCAAGAGTTGGACACTTAACTGAGCCACCCAGGCACCCCTCCATTCATCTCTTGATGGACACTTGGGCTGCTTCTATATCACAGCTATGGTAAATAATGCTGCAATAAACATAGGGGTGCATCTATCTTTTTGAATTAGTGTTTTTGTTTCCTTTGGCTAAATATCCAGTAGTGGAATTACTGGATCATATGGTATTTTTTTTTTAATTTTCTTAAATTGAAGTATAGTTGACATACAATGTTACATTAGTTTTACTGTACAGCATAGTAATTCAACAAGTTTATACCTGTGTTCACCACAAGTGTAGCTACCATATGCTGGTATTTTAGTTCATTTTTTTTGACAAACCTCCATATTGTTTTCCACAGTGGTTGCACCAGTTTATATTACCATCAACAGTGCACTAGGGTTCCCTTTTCTCTGCATCCTTGCTAATGCTTACTGCTTTTTATCTTTTTTATACTAACCATTCAATTCTGATTTTTAGTTACTTGTATTTTCTTCTTCATAATTATGGAAGAGGTTTATTAGTTTTATCAATCTTTTCAAAGAACCAACACTTGGCTTTGCTGACTTTCTTTCTGTATAGTTTTTATTTCACTGATTTCTGCTCTTTATAATTTCTTTCTATTTTGTTTGATCCACTATTACATATTTTGCTTTTTAATGATCTGATTATTTACATTTAGCTCTATTCCATTTGGAGCTAAATTTCTAGCAAAAAGGAATTTGGACAAAGGCCTCCTATGCCCACACTAGAAATTCTGCCAACTACAAAACCTGTCAGTCTCTACGGTGTCCCAGAGATCATTATGAACCTCTTAACAATAAACACTATATGCTCCTCGATTGAAGAAATTTGTTAAACTAAAGGGGTATGCCTGGCATGGCCAGGGGACTCCAGAACCCTGCTGCTACAATCTGGCTGGCCATTTTCCCAATTGGTTTGTGTATATGCCTTACTGGTTGTGAAATATTTTAAATATCATTCTCCTGGAGGGGTATCACAAAAGAAGTATAGGGAAAAGCCTGCAGACTTCTGGGCATCCTATGACTCCCTGGACCCTTGTTTCTATGTGTGATGACAGGGGATAGAATTCTACAGAATTAGTTTCCTGATAGAAAATGCTCCAATTTTTTTTTGCATTTCTTTTGTTTTTGCATTTCTAGTAGTGTATAACTTACACGGTAAAGTGCACAAGTCTCATACATACAGCTCACAGAATTTTTACATGTGCACCCATGTATCTACCACCCAGATCAAGATATAGAACCTTGATTTTTGATGTATGCAAAAGTACAATGATGTAATCTCCTAAGTTTATATAAAACCAGAAAAGTTTTATACTACCATTTTAAAACTCAGCAGATTGGAAAATAATGGAAACAGTTCATTCAACAAGCATTTCTCATGATCACAACGACTGATTTAAACAAAAAAAAGAAAATGAAGAATACCACTGGTAAAGCATCCTTGCTTTCCGCCGTCCCCAACTGTAAAAGGCACGATTGAAAACAGCAGTTTGCCATCTTATGTGAAAAGGGGAGATGCTCAATCCGTTGTTTTCCAGCCAGTCTTCATAAGAATGCTTAAAATACACAGATGACTAGGAGAGAAAGAAAAGTTCGACATCACTCAGTTTTGAAGAACATGTATGAAGTTTAAGAAAATCAAAAAAGTCTTTTCTATAGGAAAGCAAGATACTGACTGTCCAGATACTTATAATTTAAAAGCTTTATGTTTATTCTTCAGGATATTAAAGGTCTCAGACTAGCTGGTCTGTTGAGGTTAGGGTCTGGCAAACTATGGCCCATGGGTTAAATGTGGCCTACACCCTGTTTTTCTTTCTTTCTTTTTTTAAAGTAATCTCTATGCCCAATGTGGGGCTCAAACTCACGACCCCTGAGATCAAGTCACATGTTCTATCGACTGAGACAGCCAGGGACCCCATAATACAGCCTGTTTTTGTATAGCCTATGAACTAAAGATGGTTTCTACATTTTTAAGGATTGTAAAAAAAAGACAACAAAAACCAAGAATATGTGACAGAGATGCTATGTGGCTCACAAAGCCTAAAATACTTATCATCTGGCCCTTTACAGAAAAAGCTTGCTGAACTCTGCTTAGAGGAGCACTGTCCAACAGAAATATGTGAGCCACAAATGCAAGCCACATATATAATTTTAAATTTTCTAGTAGCTGAATTTTAAAAAGTAAACAGAAACAGATTAATTTAAATATATTTTTAAACTAAAAATATCTAAGATATTATCATTTCAACATGTAATAAACTATTGAAATATTTTACATTTCATTTACTTATTTGTATGTAAGCCTTTGAATCCAGTGTTACTGCACATTTCAATGTGGACTAGTGCCATCTCAAATGCTCCATGACTACACGTAGTTAGTGGCTACCACACTAGACAGAGAGTTCTAGAAGCCTTGTTACAACAAAAAGAGGTCTTGTGCTATAATTTAAAAAGACCCCCAACCAATCCAACACAGGGGACGAGTTAGATGGAATCAGTGCTTTCTATCCTCTTATGAGCAACAACCTCATAAGAAACTAGGCTGCCTTTTATCATTTAAAAGTACAAAACTTACGTAAAGCCATCTTGGGTCTTAGTAACTTACATTTTCCAGGGTTGAGGGAATAGCTGCTATACACAGCTTAACAAGAGTTCTATCTTTAGGGAAGTCTGAAGTCCTTGCGTAATGTACGATTTTGTTTTATATACCCTGACACTGACCCCTATTACCCCGCAGTTACAGAAAGTACAGTTAAGTATTTTGTTATATTGATGCTCATCCATTCGAGAAATTTGTCTCTAGAAGGGTATTTCAGCCGTATCAGTCATAAGAAAGGACCTGACTGAATATAGGTATCTGTTCGCCTTTGGATCTGTAATGTTCTCTGTTCTCAGTCTTCAGGTGAAGTTTTAAAAACTTGCTTGTTTTCCAGGACTTGGAAAAGTAGAGTGACACACCCCTTCAGTATATGTCTACTAAGGAAATCTTTGAAGAACCAAATGTGGAACAGCAGACCAAGTTGGAAGCAGAGAAGCTGAAGGTGCAGACTCCTAAAACTTGAGGTTTCTCCATTCCCCAGGCAGATATTCTGAGTGACGGTTAGGTCTTTTGCTCAAGGAATAGTGCTCTGTTGGAAAACTAGGGGCTGTTACTGAAAGTGAAGTAACCTGATCACCTCACACACTTGACCAGAGACTGTAGAGGTTTGAAAAGTTCTTTTTATTTTGGACTTTTGTCACATATGCAACATGAAGAAATCACGTGGTTTTGTTTTTTCTAAACAACAAAATCACTGTTGAAAGAGGCAGTGGCTGGTACTGCTATATGCTAAACACTATGCCAAGTCCCTGCAGAGGAAGCACCTAAGGATCTTGTAAAGATGCAGATTCTGATTCTGTAGGTCCGAGATAAGGCCTGAGATTCTACATTTCTGACAAGTTCCCAGATGATGCGAGTGCTGCTGGTACTTGAATTTTAGGTTGAGTAGCAAAGCTTTATGTACATGAACTAATGTAATCCTCTCTACAATCTCAGAAGATCCTTACCATTATTACCTCCATTTTGAAGATTAAGAAACCGAGGCACAGAGAGTAATTTGGCCAAGGTCACAAAGGCTGGGAAGTGGCTGAACCCAGCCCTTGCTCTAAGGACTCTACTGTAAAACCTCCTCACTTTGTAAGTTCAAATCCAACAAAGAAGCACAAGTATCACTTCATTTTACTGTTACACCTAAAACACACAATACTAAACTGTAATACTCTATTTAAAACGGTATTCATAACATGAAGGTTTTATTAAACACTTGAGAACTGTACTGTGGAATAAAATCTGTATGTTGTAATGACTTTATTGTTACCTTCACCCCCCCATTCAATTTCAAAGGTTGCTTGAAACATGTGGTCAGACAATTGTGCATAATTTTTGCTACCCTTCCCAAACAGCTGAAAAGTGGACCCTGCACCCGGGATGTACGTGTGGGGTGGGGGAAGGAGATTAGTGTGAAGAAGTGGGTACAGGGTGCAAATGAGAATTGTAGTAGTCAGAAACTAGTTATTTAAATCCTTGTTACCTGAGTATGCTACTTTGAAGTTTGGTCTGTAGACTAACAACACTGGTAGCACCTGGAAACTGGTTACAAATGCAGAATCTTAGGCCCCGCCCCAAACCTGCTGAATCAGAAAGCAATTTTAACCGGAACCCCAAATGACTGTATGCACTTTAAAGTTCGAGCCCGCTGGTCTAAAACACAACTTGATTTAGATTCATTCCAGTACCACAGTCTTTGGAGGGTCGTGGCCTTAAAGACAACGAGGGAGAACAATGCCTTTCCTAGGCGGACTTTTTATTTTCCTCCCAGGTGCACTGCCGCGGGGTCTGGCAAAGCCCCGACCCTCCCGAGCCCACTACTGGCGCCTCCCGGGCAGGACCCGAAGGCGGCGGGGCCTGCACCGCCCCGCAATGCGACTGCGGCAGCTGCGCAGACCGCCACACCCCTCCCGCGGTCCGCCGTTTTATTTACTCCACGGGGCCCGGGCGCCACGCGGAAAGGCGCACGTGGATACTGGCAGCGCCGCTTCCAGCCCGGGAGGCGCGAGGCAGGGGAAGAGAAAAGGCCTCGGGCCTTGCGCCCCGGTCCTGGACACCGCGGGCTTGGGCTTTAGGCCCGAGGCCCTCACCTTCAGTACCAAGTCGGTCAGGTAGACGGCAGTCCAGCCGCCCACCACCACTACCACCAGCGACACTGGAATCATGGCAGTGGCGGAGGCAGCGGAGGGAAAGCGAGCCCCGGCGTCCTCTTCCCTGTGAGCGGCAACGAGCCCAAAGCGCGGCGCCTACAGCCCCAGCATCCGCGCAGGAACCAAGCTGCCGCCGGTTCCTTTCTCACGGTGGCTCCGTTTCCCGCCGGGCCCTTCCGGAAGGCACACAGAGACGGCCATGTGCGCACCGGAAAAGGGGGCGGGTGCTTATTTTCGTGGGACACCCGGGCGCTGAGGTGTGGGCGTTTGCTCGACACCGGCTCCCAGCCCTCTAGCGATTTCTTAGGCTTTGGCCCTCCCTGCTGTTGGCTCATTGTTTTCTCCGGTTCTGGTCTGGGGTTTGCTGTTCCAAAAGCTAGTGAGAATTTGGGGTCTTCTGAAGGCGGCGGGTCATGTCTCCGCCTCCCTGACCCTGTCATAGGTATCCAGATTTAAGTTAATTATGTTTATTCTTTTTTTAAATTGAAGTGTTATTTACATAAAGCGAAATCAATGCAGGTCTCAGTTGTCCATTTCCATTAGTTTGATAATTGCATATATCTGTGTACCCTAATCAAAAGAGAGAACATTTCCATCTCAGGAATTTTCTTCGTGTCTCTTCCCAGGCAGTCCCCCCACCCCACCCCTGTTCTAATGTATTTAAACTGTGTAAATAGAGCTATAGGATAAGTATACTCTTTTGTGTCTGGCTTATTTCGCTCACCATAATATTTTTTCTTTTTTAAAAATTTTATTTAATTCAATTAGTTAATATATAGTGTATTATTAGTTTCAGAGGTAGTTTATTGATTCTTCAGTTGCATAGAACACCTAGTGCTCATTACATCAAGTGCCTTCCTTCCTGCCCATCATCCAGTTACCCCATCCCCCCAACCACATCCCCTCCAGCAAACCTCAGTTTATTTCCTATAGTTAAGTCTCTTAAGGTTTGCCTCCCTCTCTGTTTTCATCTTATTTTCCCCTCCCTTTCTCTATGAGCCTCTGTTTTGTTTCTTAAATTCCACATGAGTGAAATCATATGATAGTTGTCTTTCTCTATTTCCCTTAGCATAATACCCTCTAGTTCCATCCACCAACATAATATTTTTGAGATTCATCCATGTTGTTGATTAAATTAGGTTCTTTTCGCAATTGGTGCTATGTTTAAAAAATTGGAGGTCTGAATATCTGCACTTCTTTTTATGTTGACTTATACCTGATTATATGTTGACCTGGAGTAGTGGTTTTCAGCCTTGGCTGTGCAGTAGGATCATCGCGGGGCTTTAAAAATTTCCGTTGCCCATTTTCCAGCCTAGACTAATTGAATCAGAAGCTCAGAGTGGGACCCAAGAGTCAGTATTTTTTAAGCTCTTTAGGTCATTCCACTGTGCAGACAAGATTGAGAATCACTGACCTAGAGGACTTCTAAAGGGAAGGAAAACCTTATTTATGGACTGTTTTAATGCATTCTCCTAATGTTCATGTTTTTGTAAATTAACTTTTCCAGAAAAGCATCCTTAGCAATGATAATATCAGTACTAATATGGAGAACACAATACTATTTTAAGAACAAGTATCCCTAATAAAAATGGACCCTCAACGACCTCTGAAGTAAAAATGATAGTATAATACTAGAAAGCTGTATTACAAATATTGGTATTAATTTGCCTCATTCTCCCATCCTTTTCCTAAAGATTTAATAATTTAGTACCATGTCCTTCTAGCTTCAAGAGACCTTAAGACTCAGTTTTACATCTCCTTGCATACATGTGCGCATATATGTTGCTACAAAATATTTCAACTTATTTTGGATGTAGCTGGGTGTAAATTATAAAAGTTTATATTCAAGCACTCTGTGGCCCCACAGTTTTCCATGTACAGGTGCCCCAATAGTCTTAGTGCACTTTTAGGTTTTGATAATTTCAGAAGTATAATTGCTACAAACTTATAAAAGCCATCACTTGAAAGTTTATTTAAATTTCTTTTATACTTATTTCATTTTATGAATTTTGAATAATTTTAAATTTCAAGTGTTTGTCTCTCAACTGAAGATAAACATTGAAACAAAAAATTGAAATACATTTACTGTTCAAAAATTCCCAAGACTAAGCATGAAAGAAATTTAGGTATTTTTACTTTTTTTTTTTTTAAAGATTTTATTCATCTGAGAGAGAGAGAGGGAGAGAGTGCACAAGCAGGGGGGAGAGGAAGAAGCAGGTTCCCTGATGAAGCCAATGACCCGCGAGCCCGAGCCGGGGCTCAACCTGTGCTCAATCCCAGGACCCTGGGATCATGACCGGAGCCAAAGGCAGACACTTAACCAACTTAGCTGCCCAGGTGCCATGGTATTTTTACTTTCAAAGGATGTTTTAAGTTTGTAGAATTTGTACTTCTGAAGTTATTAAAGCTTAAAACTGCACTGAGACTGTTGGTAGGCTATTGTGTTTGAACTGACCTTTGTTCACTCTTACATAATGACTGCAGTTTTTAACATTGTTTTTCCCCCGGGGGAAGAGAATATGAACTTAAGATCTTTTTTGTTAGCCTGAAGCCTTGTCTGGACCCCTTGCTGGGATAAGTACCAGCTACTGTGTGGCTATCTGATTACCCAAAATATGTAGGAAATGAGTTGATTGTGTTTTTCTGTTCCCAACCTAAAAATTTACTTATTCAGCTGACTTGGTGTTCCCATCAGGGACCCAGCAGTCAAAACAAAACACTAAACTGAATCCTGCTGGTTTCTGGAACTTATCAGTAGTGGAAGCCAGCTGGTAGCAGCAGAAGAGATAAGATAGAGGATGCAAGATGGCAGCAAAAAATTCCTGAATTCCAGAAGATCAAAGTATATTTCCTTAAAACAAATTTGTGACCTAATTTACAAGTTGTTTCACGTTTCTGTCAGGTAATTATTTTATTGATTGATTGATTGATTGAAGCTTTACACCCAACATGGGGCTTGAACTCACAACCCCAAGATCGCATGTTCTATTGGCTGAGCCAGCCAGGCACCCATGTCCGGTAACTTTTAAATAGAGGACACATAGCCTCTATTATTATGAAATTATTCATACAATTTTAATTTATTATTTTTAGAGGGGGCACCAGATATATATTTTGGCTGAATGCAAAATAGCCTCATTATTAAAAATCAATATTTGGCTGAAGCAGAATATCAACATCATATAATAAACTTTTGAGATGCCAGAATCAACATGAGATATAACATTAGATATTAATTTAAAATATTACAAATTTATTATGAAAAATATTAGTATTCAGATTTTTAAAGTCTGATGTTTTATGCAGGAATATTTCTTTCTTTTTTTTTTAAGATTTTATTTATTTATTTGACAGAGAGAGAGAGCACAAGCCAGGGGAGCTGCAGAGGGAGAGGGAGAAGCAGACTCCCCACTGAGCAGGGAGCCCGATGTGGGACTCGATCCCAGGACCTTGGGATCATGACCTCAGCTGAAGGCAGCTGCTTAACCAAGTGAGCCACCCAGGCATCCCAGGAATATTTATTTCTTATCAATGTAAGCTGATAGTTTGCTTCTGGGGTCATTATACTCTACATTTACGACACTAAATTATACCAGTCAGGAAAAACTAGGTTATGCCTGGATAACAAATTCTAAAATCCCAGGGTCTAGGGGAGCCTGGCTCAGTCGGTTAAGCGTCTGAGTCTTGGTTTCAGCTCAGGTCATGGTCTTGGAGTCCTGGGATTGAGCCCTGCATCAAGCCCCACATTGGGCTCCATACTCGGTGTGGAATCTGCTTGTCCCTCTCCCTCTGCTCCTCCCCCTGCTCTTGAGCTCTCACTCTCAAATAAATAAATAAAAAATAGTTTTTTAAAAAGATTTTATTTATTTGAGAGAGAGAAAAAGAGAGCATGAGCAGGGGGAGAGGGACAGAGGGAGAGGGAGGAGCCGACTCCCCACTGAGCAGGGGGCCTAATGTGGGACTCAATCCCAGGACCCTGGGACCATGACTTGGGCTGAAGGCAAACACTTAACGGACTGAGCCACCCAGGCACCCCAATAAATAAAAAATCTTAAAAAAAAATCTTAAGGGCTAAAAACAGCAAAGAATTATTTTTTGTTTGTGCTATGTATCCATTGATGGGTTCGCATGCTGATGGGGACTCCACCATTTTATCATGCTCACATTTCAAAATGAGGTTCAGAGTTTAGTGTGGCAGAGAAAGAGAAGACTAGAGTATGTACCACAGGCAGTGAATGGGCCATATGCTATGGCCCATATGTGCACATGTTACTTCCACTCATGTTTCATTAGCCAAAAGGAGTCAAATAATTGTACTTAACATAAAGGGCAGAGGGAGTGTCAGCACGTGGAAGGAGAGAAGAACACTTGGAAATACACAGTAGTGTTATCTACCACATAAATAGCCATTCACTCTCACCTATGGAGGGTGTAGTGACACAAAATGTTTGGTTAATGCTGTCATTATGGGATACTGCTAGTGTTGATGCTGCCACATAATTACTAAGCCTTTCCTTTCTGTTTACTAGGAACCGGCTAAGGTAAAGACTCCTTTCCATTTTAAATCCCAGTCGGTATGGTTGCTGAAGATGGTACAGTTTGGTGGAAACAGTCCCATAAATGGAAGTTTCTCATGCCAGTTGAAGAAAATATTTTCTGAATCTCTTCTGAAAGTGATGTCTTCACTTATCGTTTCATTCCTAATATATATAGACATTTTGCCTGCAATTGCTGTTTTACAGTCATGTGAATAATGTTTGTCCTTATAAACCTTGCTTCTAAAAATGTGCTAATCAAGCAATATAATTGGCTTTCAAGAAACTAGTCATCTAGGTTTTTCCATCTGTGTTTCAGTTTCATTTCGTGTACATGAGTGTCTTCATCTTTCTGGTGGGAGAAGTGAATCTTTTTAGCCGCTATCATGTAAGAAAAACTTGTACTCTGAAAGTATCAGTTTGGTTACTTCTTCATCAGGTTCCAGCAAGCAAAGTACTTGCTCTGCAAGCAGTTGTAATAAGATGTATTGTTTTAATCTAAAAAGCATATTATTTTGGTTTTGTTCAAGATGGCTTTTAAATTGTTTAAACATCTTGTTAAATATATGACAAGGCAATTCCAAAATCTTTGGACATCATGTACTTTTGTCTTTGAAGTATGATGAAGTGGCCCACTATCCTTCTGCTTACAGACAGTGATAATGGCTTTTTGA